AGTCGGTGTGCCCGTTGGCTGGAAGAGTAAAACGCATAAGTGGATGCACGCGTGACGCTCGATATTGTGTGACCCTGACGTGAAAATATGAGGAGAGTTCTACATACATTGATCGATTCATGGGACTGAAGTGATGTCTTTCACCTCTGGGGCGACACGTGTGGATTCTGCGCAATTCTGATAAAAAAAGTAGAAATTGAATGACGTTCGATCAATGCTCTACATCAAAATACAAAATGGACAATAATTTCTTACTCTGAAATGACAGAAAACTTTTTTCACAATGGGAGAAAAAAGAATTATTTTTTACAAATATTGATTTATTTGAGAGAAGCATTTATTTTTTTCAAAATCGTATTTCTTCGATGGAGTAATTCCCAGGGAAGCCTGATTAGGTTTCAATTATAACAATCATGTTACTCTAGAGGATGCACGTGACCTTGAATGAACTTACTCCTCTAATGATTATTCATTTTTTCTAAATTTCTTATTTTCTAGAGAGAATTTCAATTAATATTTTAATGTTGATAATTATTGAAGGAGTTCACACAAGGTCATAACTAACATGATCATCTTTTACAGCAATATAATTGACGTAATTGACACCTGATGAGGATTGCCTGCGAATGACGACTAGAGGAATACGGTAATGAAAAAAAAAATATTTCTCTCAAATAAATGGATAGTGTTGGTAGATAAGTTCGTTGCCTCACATGCGAAAGGTTCCGAGTTCAAATCCCGGCCGGGTAGAATGGTGCGATCTAACCATTTCAAGTCTTTGATCATCATCGCAGTATACCCTAACCGGGTCGAAGCGATGTCAAATAACGATAAAAAAAAAGGTAATTTGGTAAAAATAAGTGGTTTTCTCCGTCTACTACACTGTTAGAAAATTTTTGAAATTTAAGTAACAGATGCATTTGAATTTTCAATATTCGGAACTTGAATTTAATTTCAGACTACATTGCTCATGGAATTCCTGATTCACCTTGGAAATTCAATAAAATTAAGTTGTTCGTGATGAATGATCATTGACTTTTCAATGACAATTTGGATTTTCACACCTATCGCGAAAATTAAGCATTACATTCAATTGAATTATCAAGAGATTAAGGTACTTCCGCAGTACCGCATACTTTTTATCAGAAAAATTCACTCTGTTCATAACATCAGTTGCAAGTGTTTTCCAAGTGTGAAAATGTAAGCTTTTGCGAAGAACTATCCACCACTTTTCATATCAATCCTCTATTAAAAAATGGGGGAAATATTATTATTATAACTATTTCGTCAAGTCTATGCTAGATTTAGAATTATTTCAAGTTTATCTTTATTTATAAATGTATTTACTTATTTATATATAAAATGTAGAAAATAGTGATACATTATATATAATAATAAAATTTTATTATTATTATTAATAACACTCTGATGATTATGATTATTATTTAATATATTTTATATTAATATTTTCATGCTTATATTATATGTAAAAAATCAGGCCCGGTCGCGCGCTTCGCGCGCTCCCTCTTTAGGGTATGACCGGTAGGGGTTGGTGGAATTGGATGTGACCCATTACGGGTCGCACCAATAACTTCCCGACCATTTGTTTTTTCTTTCATTAATTTTTTTATTATGTATTTATTCAATCTTTTTCTCACATTTCTCCGAGGAAATACCCATAGAAGACAAGAAAATCCGTGCGCGTGCTCGCACTCACACACACTCCCATGCACACACATCGCCGTATTCCGCATCGAGAAAAGATGTAATTTATCAGAAAAGTAAAATTGTTTCTTGAATGTATATCGATTTCGAAAAAAGCTAGTGAACTGCTGATTAAATGTCTTCCAGTATTCCATGATTTGTGCGTTATATCAAGATTCATCGTTTCTAACAAAAAAAA